CGGGGGAAGTACTCTTTCAGCATATTTTCCCAAAAAGGAGGAGGAATGGGACGGAAGGGAGGAAACAGCCATTCAGTAAGCCGAGAAATAAAAAAGAATATTTTTCAAGACCACTTTCGAAGCATCAAGTATTATACCTTTATGCTAGAAATTGAAGAGCGCGAAGTCTTTAACACTTTGTTTGCATCAAACAAACCAACAATTATTATTTGTGGTGAATTATTCTTCTATTTAGCACGAGAGAATGTGTACCCATCAGTGAATCAGATCACGGAATGGTAAAGTAAAAAAAAACGCCGCGAAACATTTCTGATCAGAGTTTTTATATCTGCAGCCAATATGAAGTCGCATGCTCACATGCTGTAAACAGTGAGTGCGTGGGTGATTCGTGTTCAAGCACGGTGGTTTACTGCGCATGCGTGCACTCCGCGCGTGTGCACCCCGGCTTGATTTGGTCCACTGGTGGCCGCAATGGCAGTGCCGTTTTTCACCGTGCTACTCCTCTTACGTCGTAAAGCACCGAATAGAGAGGTGCTGGATAGTAATATGCATAATACATAATTTTGAGGACTGGTACTTATGACAGCATCAGACTGCGCGACCACGTTCAGGTAATTGATTGACTCCATAATCCTCCTTCAAGGCTCTTTCGCTAGCACAACAAAGCGGTTTCTGGAAGTTTTCAGCGCGGTTTCAAAATATATGAATTATTGTAGCAACGCGAAAAGAATGCTCGATTATGTCATCGTATTTAATGCTCTTTTCATTTCTACTGCGATTCAATCGAACGTTCAGGCTAGTTGTCGGTTGGCGTCGCTGTTGACGAGTCATTTGGTGGTGACTCTCAAATTCTCAGTACAGGATAGGGGTATACTAGGTATAAAACAGGATATTTGCATTTTCCGGGCCAAAATGCTGACGTTTAAATCCAAGAAACTAATCGAAAGGCCATTTTTTACTAATTCCATCGACAGCAGTATACGAAACAGTGCGCGTTCTGTGGCTGTTCTCACGTCTGAACCGTGAAAAGAGCCTCGACCGATTCTGTGCGGCTCCCTCTCGTGCTCTCGTTCCCTCCTTCAACTGTTTCGTGACAGGATGCTTACAATACAACTCTCACAAAACACGATGCGCTAGCAACAGCCCGCCAGCAAACAGCGAAATAGAGCGAGAATGAGTGTCGGGGACGGGATGACTGCTTCACTCCGATTATTATTATATTATCATGCAATCTCTCTTCTTGCGAAAGTAATTACACATCACACCCAGGTACGAAGCCCACGTTGAAGCGAGAGCTAGAAAGGATAAAGAACTGTGAAAGCGACACAATTCGTAACAAAAAGAGGAAAAAAACAATTGTCACGACTTTGCTTTGTTCAATGACTCCCTCCGAAGCGCGGCAGCCCGATCGATGTGAAACGAGGCACACTAATTTGCCCCTTGTAGCGAACCGCGTCGCCTATCGACTGGCATTCGTTGCTTATAAGAACGTGTAGGCCACCCATGGAAAAAGAAACTGGTACTCGTATTGTCACGGAAGTTCTTCCATCTGTACTTCGATACAGGACATAATACTTAAAGCAAAAAAAAAACTGGAGAGCGTTGTTGCTTGGCACTAGGCAAGACAAAAAAATTAAAATATTGCGACAAACAGGATGTAGAGTAGGGCATTTCTTCTCCACTAACGTGAAACCTGTGGAAGGGCAAAGCATCCCGTGTTTCGAGAGAGATTTTTATAATCAGGCCCTCGCCTAAGAAGAGTCATCTAGGCCAGGGTCTTTCCGCTCCCGTAACGTCATCGGCTATTTGGTGGGGTGACCGCTGTCTTCTTCATTTTTATTGAATAAGTGACGAGTAGCGGAATTTACAGAACATTTGGAGTGCGCACTCGTTTATGATGAACCATAACTACGTGACACACCATGACGACACCGAGAAGCCGTGTCAGAATAATCTGATGGTTTCCACTGTTTTTACATGTCTCCGTTCACTCAGAAGTGTAAAAGTCGTTTAAAATGGGTCTCGGCAACGATTGCCTTGATATAGCCACGAGGCCGGTTTCACACAATCAATGACTTCTACCTTTATACTACAAGCCTTATTCACAGGGATAGAGTGTACAACGAACAAAACTGATTGATGATGCACTTGCTAGAGATAGCAAACCCGCGAAGCTGAAACATGCCACGCCACTGCTTATGACTTGTTTAATCTTGATGGTTCAATATTGCCTTCCTCGATCATTTTTAGCAGTTGTCCAGAAATCTTTGGTTATTTTTGGCGGCCAGTGCTCTTTCTGTCTACCCTGTTTCTTCTTTCCTATGTTCACGCGCTAAACAAACCTGCAAATATGTCCTTAAGATTGAGGCTTCTCCATTGGCGGTGTTGGCGTGCGCCGTCACCGTGGGAATAATGATGATGACGCTGGTGACAATGAAGAATATGACAATATTAATCATGGATAACGACTGGCTTGTGCCGTGTATGACATCCCGATATTCTCTACAATGCATATTATATCACCGGAACAAACCAACGACGACAAAAAGAACGTGCACAAATTACGTATTAGCCAATTTGAGGCTAGATACGATACCACAAAGTGGTCATTGTGAAGGCAAAATGAATTGAGAACTCGACACAACATAGCATATATAGCCAACGAACCTTAGTATACACCATTCTGTGAGTCATTTACAAGCGTGAGCGGTCAATGGCATGGGTGATTTGCGGTCGCACCGAATGATCCTACTGTTTCGCCTATTCATAGTCATTAGCTTCATGGATCTATGATGTTTTTTCTTTTACTTTTTCTTTTCAAACCATTCCAGCACTACACTATCCATAATTTCTACCGTAAACCAACGTGACAGAGCAAAATTGGTCGTACTTCTTCTAAGTTGCTTCTCCAGTAGTACATCATCTCTCTGTTTGCGTCCATTTGTTGACTAGAATATCCTCGCTATGTGCGACCAACAAGCTCAGACAAGGGCATTTCTATCTGACCAAGTTGTCACATTTGACAAACCCTTCGCGCACTGCTTTAATATTCAGTACCCGAGCTTCTGATAAAAGCCATCGTATGTTGACACGCTGGCGAGACATCACCATCAACAGCAGGATCGAATCATGCACAGTGAACGAGTACAACACCTTTGTCTGCCCATTTTAAGTGCGGTGCACATTACGGACCTGGACCGTTGTATGCTGTCGTGTTCTCTTCGCGTAACGTACAGGCAAGGCGCTGTATAGCATAGCCCCCTGCAGCATACACAAGCGCTATAGCGCTAAGGGGATCTCTTCTTCCTTTTGCCCTTCCAGCGCATTGATGATAATATTAGGTGTGGAACGCTTTACGAGCCCAAACTCTCCAATGCTTCGTGACTTGGTGTAACGCAAGCAATATCATGCATACATACGAAAAAAAAAAGGGTCACAGCTTTGTCGCAAGGGCGAAGCAATGAACGCGATAACAACAAACTCTAATGTCACGCGAATGGGCAAGCAGATAGAAACTTGCCCCATGCTGCTCACGCACAAATACAGATGCAGATTACAAATACAGATACAGATGACAAGTACAGATGAACAAGAATAGGTGTCTGAGTTGTTACTTCCCACAGGTCGTGGGTTCTAATCCCGGCTGCGGTGGCTGCATTTCTGATGGAGGCGGAAATCTTGTAGGCCCTTGTGCTCAGATTTGGGCGCACGTTAATGAACGCTAGGTGGTCTAAATTCCTAGAGCCCTTCCATTACGGCATCTCTTCTAATAATATGGTGGTTTTGAGACGTTAGACCCCACATATACATCAATCAATCAGTTGTTACTTCGCTGTGTCTTAAAAGCGCGCCCTTATCACAATCCTACACTGTCTGACTAGCATCCCCTATAAGTTTCCTATAATCCTTGTCTGTCCCTGAAGCTTCAGAAAGCCGTTATCGTGAGAGTGCCATTCATCTGCGCGTCGCTTGTGATTGAAACATTGCGAACATTGTGATTGAAAGCTGTGCACAGAGGAGCAAAAAAGAAACCTAGTGCGTAAATTTCTTACGTCAGCCTGCCACATATGCATTTGCAAAGCGAACTAAATTAGTGTACTAGTTTTCTCAATAGAATACTGATGTACGAGTAGGCTTTTATTTAAGTACATGTGTTTCCGGAACATTTTTTGAGAGCTCTGCATTCGATATGAAGCGGCACAACCTCAACTAGGGATTTGTATTTAACTTCTACCCCGGAAAACTCCCTGTTTCCGGGAAAACGCTCTGCTCGGCTTGACCACGTCCATCAAGCTCTGCCAGCTTGCATACAAAAATCGAACGCCGACTCAGCTTTATAGACAGTTTTTTAGTTGCTACTTATTTTTTTTCTCCGGTCTGTTTTATCGGCAGAGTTTTCTTTTGTCATCTCTCTATCTTTTCTCCTCTCTACGTTTCCCTTATATCTGTTTTATCCTTCTGAAGAAGTAGGCGCAGATGTTGCAGCCCTATAAGCAGCAGTTGTGGGGATGCTGGCTCTCTATTTCTTTAGTGCGTAAACCCGTGCTTGCGCACGTACTTGGCCAGCTACTAAAGAGAAATTTGCTTAAGGCATATATTACAATATAAGCACACAGGTCCTTGCACATAAACAAGACGCAGCCAAAACGTACGTGCGTATGTTTTAAACCCACCTAGATGCACTTGCACGCTACTTTCAGCTGTTTGATGGGTCTGGGACTTGTAAAAATACGTAACACATTTCTAGTTTAGAAGTTCAAGGAAAAAAAGCAAGTTTGAGAATATTGTTACCCACTGGTATGAATGATGCGTACAAAATCAATTTGGCGTTTTTTTTTGTGCGCTAGGAGCGTCACTACGAACTACAGGTGTCATGCCGCCTATCGCTGGGTGTTCTATAAAAGGTTTTCCTTGTCACTCATATCACTTCTTCCACTGCGCGATTGAACGAAGGTACATGGGAAGCAATGATGCACTTACCAATGCCATGAGGGCGACAAGCTCTCGATCCGTGATGCATCGGTGGACAGTGTCTCGTATGAAGTAACAGAATATTGGCCTGAAAGTTAGAGAAACTTCGTTTCATCAGCTGTACGAAGGTCTGTTTGTAAATTATAAGGGCATACGTGAAGTACTTTTATAAAAATACTCGGTTGCACTCGTATACCACTACTGAGCAAGAACAGTTCAAATGGCCGATTATGAATGACTTCTGCGAGAGTACTGTGGGTTGTCTTATGCTAAGTGGGATCATATATTCTACGATGCGAGAATGGCTTTTAAAGGTTTTTTTTTTCAAGCTTTTCGACAATGCCGAAACAAGTGGTGCTTCAGTAAGCACCAGGTTGAAAAGACATCTTTCAGTTGTCTCGCAATGTCTCACCTTGAGCTGGCTGTCTGAAACGCCATTCAACTAAGTTAGTTATAGAAAACCCATCCACAATCAGCGTGCCGTAGTATTTCCATGACGGCAGCTTCCAAAGCATTTCCTCCGCACTAGAATCCAGCTGCGAGTGCTTGATTCTAGCACGAGTTTGCCAAGAAGTTTCAAACAAATTATGCCACGTCATGTTACGCCATGTTATGTCACGTTATGTGTAGAAATTTAAATTTATTGAATACTTTTGTTCCCTCAACTTGTGTCACATGGACAGGTTTTTATAATGAAGAACTTAGAATGGCTGCGTGACGGTTATGCTACGTGTATTTGTGGAGAGCCTCTCTTTCTTTGAGGTGACAGACCTTGTTTATGGTGTCTACTTTGCAACAGCAACAATATTGCAAACGAAGATTTAGGTCACGCAGTGCGACTAACATGTTTACACACATCTAGTTGAAGAATTCCGCTGAGTGATGTTAAGCTTTGAAAACCGCAACTGAGTGTAGTATATTTGAAGTAGTGTATTTGCTACAGCAGGTTATCACACTGCCATATTCTATTTTCCATGCTGGCAGAATGCTATCTGGGAAATTTTTATTTTAAGGAACCTAAGTTAGAGCAACTACTTACCATTGTCGGCAGTGACTATTAGGACGCTGTGCTTGGTGCTCCCGGTGCGTATAATCAAGCACTAATGTTCGTATTCTGAGAGCCATGCAGAGCGGCAGAACGGTGATGCCTTGCTCCTTAGAAAGCAGAGCACACACAGAGAGCAGACCGCAGGCTGCGAGCCACTTTGACCTTGCGTGACCTCCTCGGACATCGCTGGAAAGTTGGCAGCTGTTACAGTCAATAAAAAAAGAAATATACGGAATAATATAGCTTTGCGTTCAACACTGCTCTCTATTTTTTGTTGGCGAGAGAACGACAAGTACTTCATCATGTTTTTTACAGTAATAGACAAGAATGACATGGTGTCTTAGAGTGGGCCAGCTTCATGGGCCATTCTGTGCTTTTCTCATCTGATCACAGAGCACCACTCGAAAAGTGGTTCACAAGCACAACAAGTAGCTGGGTCTTCAGAAAAGAAAAGTATAAGCTGACTTGTGAATTAGTAGAAGTGTATGACGTTGATTTCCGGAAAGAAAATATTGTGTGTGCTTCTTGCGGGACACTCTAAAAATTGAACCTAAGAGTTTTTGAACATTATGAAGGTGCAGGAATTTTGCAAAATTAAAATAATGTTATCATAACTATATTTAGGTGCTTTGCCTAAGACCACTGTCATTGGCTTGTTAGACCCTCGTAGGTTTACCATATACGAGAAATAAAATGGCAGCTGTTGTTGGGCGCCTTTCTTCTCAGTTATTCATTAGTCTGCTTCTAAGCGCGCTGTAGCCTTTCATGATCGTGTCCACGTGCAGCTTGTGAGAAGTTAATGGGACAACAGAACTACCTATAGCACATGAAAAGTGTATTTGAAATGCGGTTCCGGCCAATGATCATCTTCATTTGTGCAATGAACTCGTAATGCCAGGCGGCGTCACCTTCGGTACATACGAACAGATGCTGCTCACAAAAAAACGTTTCTTTAGTAAATAAGTGGGATACACTCCACTGTACTTCACTTTCAGGGAATTGTAAACACCATGTACCATTCGCTGCACAAGTGTGATGAGAACAATACTTCAGTGACATGACAAAAGGAGCTAAAACTAAAACCTCTGCATAGACGTGTTTCATTTTTATTTTTAGGAAGCAGCGCGAAAAACTGACGGTCTACTTGCAATATCACTTCAAAACATTCACATCTCACATTTCATCGAACTGGGAATTTTGCTTTTTCAAAACCCCAAACATCATGTTTGAATTAGGGCAGTCATTAGGACCCTCTTCTTTAGCAAAGCTGCGGTTCCTAACAAGTACTGAGTTTTGCCCGCTAAACGTTTCCCTGATTCAGTTTCAGCCTAACGTAAGAATTGCGTGCTAATGCATGACGCTGCAACTTCGGCCTCTGGAGCCAATTAGCAAGATTGCTGAGAGAGCTTTCGCCTATGCCACTGTTGAGTTTGCTAACGTGTGACTTTTTTTTATGCGAGTGTGTGCATGCATAGGCAACGTTTTTGCCGTGCAATTCTGCTCCGAGCATTCAGCGCGATTGCCTGGCGGAAGGCACGCTGTGATCGAAAACGCGTCAGCTTGCATTTGCTACGCAACGCTAAAAGCAACAGCAAAGCTAGTGTTGCACCACTAGTCCGACTGCGTTTTAAGTGCGAAGCATCTCAGGGGACCAGGCTGTCGCATGCTGTCGTCTTCACTCGTCATACAGGAACGAAACCATATATAGCATAGCAAGCTGTAGCATACGAGGATTATATGTTAGCTCGCACCCACCCTAGTGTATTGACCAAGAAACAAATAGTTTATAAGTAACAGTGATCACACAGGAATATTGTGACTAATGATATATAAAATATATATGATAAATTGTTGATCCTAATATAAATACCCGAGATCAAAACCGACCTGATAAAATTAAACAAGCTTTCTTTCGAGAAACATAGATCTCAGTGACAATGATATAATGCGGATGCCCACAAAGATAGAATATCTGAAATAATAAAGTGCAATCTATTTCGAATAAACTCCGCTTTTATAATCTTTCTCCTCAGTAGGTTAAAGCGGTTTACTGACAAGAAATAGTGCTCGATTGGTGCGTCCATGCTACAGAATGAACAAATATAAGGAGGAGCCAAACCAGCTCCATGCATTTAATAATTATGCAATAATTATATACACCATCTTCAGGAAATTCCCTGGATTTCAAGCACTAATGATATCCTGGCGAATTTCCTCATGTCGTAACAGAGATCTGGAAGCTTTATTCACTAGACTACACTGTCGTCTTCCTCCACTTAATTTTAATTTATTCACAGAAGGCTTGACTCTTTCCGGCTTTGTTGTTTTTGTGGAGAAGAGGAAACTGTTGAATGTTTCTTGGTCGCTTGTCGAAAGTTTTCAACATTGAGAAAGATACCGCTAGAAACGCCGTTACAAATCCTTAGATTAGCTTTGACAACATCAAATTTACTGTCCCTAGATGCACATGCCCTTGGGCACGGCAACGGGAAGTTGTGTGAGGCCATGGAAGGTTTTCTCGAAGAGTCAAAAAGGTTCACCCAATAACCTCAATACCAAAACGTTCTCAGTTAACTAATGGAGGCTAAAGGAACATTCTTTGTTATATCATTCATTCATTGTTATTTCAGTAGAAAGTAAATCATTCAATCTTCTTCTCCAGAATATATTACGAATAATCAATATTTGTGTTGTTTTTTTCCGCTAGTATTTAAATGTATATTCATTTTTTTGTTAAACTACCCGATTCTTATCCAGTCTATTATAGTGAGTGTGAGCAAAAAATCTAGGATCTACCTAACTTGGGTGTGTTCCAATATTCACTATAGACGGCTAAATAGACAGCTAAATGGACAGCGGCCATCTTAAGTCCTGTCCTAATTTTCACGTAGCCGGCAAAACAGACAGCTCCGGGAAGACCACATCGTAGACAAATACGTTGCAGGGTACTTTGCTGTCTAAAGAAGACGGCGCTTCAATGAATTGCTCAGATAGCTCGAATCTCGCCGGAATGATCGTCTGCACACAAGCAGACGCTTTTCCAGACGCTCTATGTGAGTAACGTTTATTTGTTTTTTATTTCAACACGAAATGAGCCAGCAAATACAATTGTAAAGTTTGTTTATTTTAGCTTTTTCTTCTCGATGCGAGGTGGCACATCATCGCGTAAAAGCCGTCCAGAAGTGTTCTAATTCTCGGACAGCATGGATTCGGTGCTGTCTTCTAAGTAGTCTGCGTAGATTGTCTACGTGCTGTCTAAGAATTGTAACACAGCCCACATTTTAGAACACGACCGCGTTTTTTTGTAAAAGTAACTTTGTCTGCACATATTCAACAGAAAAACCTACGCCAAGGAAATAAGTTGTGTTCATACTTGCTTAGATTAGTGATCAATGTTATCCCAGTATCATCAATTATGAGGGATAATGTTGGAATATTTGAGCATAACGAACCACTGAAAAGCGTTTTCCCGATCCAAAAAACTTCCCCTTCCTCTGGTTCTTCGAGTGCTATGATGATATCACGTGCGGACATTATTACTATGGATATAAAAACTACATAACATAAACCACGCATAAAAATTTAGAAAGCGATCAAGTAATAAATAGATAGAGAGTGAAAAAAACATAGTAAACATCAGCAAGAAATAAACAGAAAGATAAAGAGAAGCAAAAAAAAGGCTGCCCAGCTTCCACGTTCTTTCAGGCTTCTTGCGCAATTACAGAGAAGGTGCCTTATTTTTTTTTCGTTCAATCATAGTTGATGAAAAATGCACTGGTCTGGTGAGGCTAGCGGTGCTATATATGCACCAAGGTCAGGGTTTTCCTAGCTGAAAACTATCAACAGTGGTTTCCCTCTCTCTCATTTTGTATGCTCCCAGTCCCTTATACTGCAGAGTGCTTTAGGATGCGAAGTGAAAGCTCAGGGTTCTACGCCTTTATTTTGATATGACCGTTATCCATCATGCTGTTTAAACGGAATGAGGACTTATTAAGAGCATTGTATTTGGCACGTGGACATATATACATATGCATTTGATCTAGACAATATAACCCTGAAAATTTTGGGGGAAATTTTTGTGCGATATAACTAAGAAAGAACTGGGTAGAAAAAGAAGAATTCACTCACACACACAAACATACATGCATAAAACCGCACGCCCACACATCTGCTTACGTAGACCGACATACACGTACTTAAAAAGTGAGCTACTCGATTACTTCAGTAGTCTTCTCGTAGATTTGCATTCATGGCATCACATACTGCCGCAACTGTTCGACCTGCAGTTCACATCCACCTCTGCTGATAAGGGGCTAGGATGCTCATCTACTGAGCCGAAGCGGTGGTCGCAGTTAGATTAACGCAAAATGGTAGGGGCGCATGTACTGCGCGACATCAATGTACAATAAAGAACATAGATGGTCAAATTTTCCGGAGCCCTCCAATACGGCGTCTCCTATATTGACCTATTGGTTTAAGGCGTAAAAGTGCAAAAAGCATTATAACTGCAGTTGACACACAGATGTTTCAAAATGCACTGTTACCACACCTAATTAACGTTTAAAGTTCAGGTATAACCGCATTACTAGTTCTTTTGAATTGAAGAACTCGGGCTCTTTCGTAGTAGTGACATATGAAAGGAATACCCATTCCTGCAATACAGTCTTGTCACCTTGTCTTATAATCGCGCATTTTTCATTTTGAGCGTTTATAGACACGAATTGATACGACTCGTTGAAATTAGCACAAAACGTTTGCTTTCTATTTGCACGTAATGCTTATGCTTGCTGAACAGCAGTTCTTTATTTCATTAGAAATTATTGGAGCAAGCAGTTTGCGCTATATAATAGTAAACGTACGTTGCAATCAGCGCAAAAAAGCTAGTTCAGAAGAATATCAAGCATGCAGAGAGACATGGGAGATTCATATGCGTGCGGATGTACTAGCCTAATTTCCGAAGACTAGTAACTACATTCAGTACACTTCCGTAAAGGCACTATAGTTGATGTGCATCGCGGCTAGCATATGCAACAATGGGCATCTGTTTTCAGCAGTCACCATTACCACGTTGTCCTATGAAGAATTGTATTGTATTAGTATTTTTCTTAACATTGCAGAAAATAACGTTGCTTGATAAGTTGTCGGTGGCCATATAACTAAAGCACTTCTGTTGCTGGCTTGAAAGTGGCAGTTGTCGTTCC